CTGCAGTTCTGACAAGTTACCTGAGCTCTAGAACTCAAAAGCTCTCTGAAAAGGTCTTCACTTTTTTCCACTTTTTTTTTTTCCCTTTTTTATTTGTTTCTGTAAACAACACACACAACTGTTTGGAAAGATTAATTGCACTGGAAGAAAATAGAATCTACATACAGACTGATCCATAGTCACTATTCCTCCTTGGATAAAAAAAAAAAAAAAAAAGACATCTGCAAAGAAAACAAACCATTTGCAACACTAAGTTTTGTCTTTAACCTCTCGTTCAACAAAAAGAAGAAAATATGGACCAAATTCTACAACTGCTGCCCAAATACCAGCTCCCTGCATGACCGATGGCTACCAAGCAGGTGGCTGCAAGCAGGAACAGGCTGCCAGTGCACACATTAATGGCTTATCAGCCACTCATACAGTCTAGTCCAACACACGGTTTCCTCGAAAAGCCCCGAAGGAAGCAACGCTGCACTGATTTGTAGTCACAGCAACTGCAGGACGCTGCACCCAGAGGAGCCAGGATGACCACAATGAACCAGTTTTTAAGTTTGCAATAGACTGCAACTGTGTCAGTACTTTGAAGTCACATCACCAGCTATGTCAAGTACAGGTAAAAACTGTTTTGAACCTTTTCTCCAAACTTAACAGCAACGCAGACACGTATCTACCAGTCAAAGCCCAGAATATTATTAAAGCCTATCACAGTAAACCTTGAACATTCACTGAACTACTGCAGAAAAGGTAAATAAAGGTTTGGTTCTATGCCAAACATGAAATGCACTCGCCAGTAATTTGAATTGTTAAAGTTTCCAGAAAACATTGACATAAATATTGTAATATTTATATAACTATTGTAATATTTATGTCAAACCACTACGTACTGCTGCATCCCGTGAGTAGAAAATTCCTAGGCACTTTCACACGATATTGAAGCAACTGAGAAACAAACAAAAGAAAGATTTACTACGCTCTATAATCTTAGTCTCAGAAAAGTTTATTTAGAAAGTCTCATCATTAAGCAACAAGTTATTTAGATGAGAATATACAAAGCTTTCTTATTTGAGGAAACACTGAGCACTCTAAAACAAAACATTTGAAACAAAAAATTTGACCTTGCTTCTGAGTTCTACATTCAAGGAATTTTAAATATTCCCATATGGGAAAAAAAAAAAAAAAAAAAAAAAAAAAAAAAAAAAAAAAAGCTTACTTGGAATAAATGTTGCACTTAAAAGCAAGCAATTTTATAGAAAACCAGCATTACAGATCCCCAATCCCCCAAAAGTCAGGTGGTACTTCTAGCAATCAATAGGTTATACCAACTGGTCTATCGTCTGATTTTCTAAGCCATATTTATCACATCTGTAAGCATATGATTTTATTTTATTTTTTAAACCCAGAATAAGAGACTACTTCAAAAGAGAACATTGCTTCCAATTCAGAGAAAGGAAAAAAAAAGAAACAGGCCTAAAAGCATCAATCCAATTTTGGAAGCTGCAAATGGGACATGCATTACATCACTGCCCCGGTAAAAACATGTTCTTTACAAAACAGGCATAAAACTTGAAAGGCTCAACAGCCTGCCTTCTTACTGAGCAGGGGCTCGGGCTGGAATGACGTTGCACAGCGTTGAAAACTCTTTTTCTTTGTCTTGGTTTTTAGTTGCAGCATATGAAAGATTTAAAACAAAAAACCCGCACACAATAAGGCATTTACATTGTTTTGCAGTTCGATACTGAGTTACTGTTTCACCTAATACATTGAAAAACTGGGTATTACAGCTTCCAAAAGTTTAAGTTTGTTAGCTCTGAAAGATTAAAAACCATGGATTTGATAGAAACAACCAGCACTATCTACAGGCACTTAATTGCCACGACAGTTTCAATTACTGTAGACTGTCATGAAAAACAGAGAAAAGCGGGCAAGTAACGATTAAAACATTAAAATCTGTTGCCTCTTGAAAAAAGAAAAAAAAAAAAAAAGCTTTGCTTACTGCTATGCAAAAACCAAGCTGTTATACCTTAAGAGGGTTTATTTAGATAGCCACACCAAGAAATCAGCAGCAGAAAACCAAACCCCAAGTTCTTCACCTTCATGCACATTTTTCTAGAAAATCATTTCTTCCTCATGGCAGAATTAAACAGCAAGGAAGCAGAAGAAGCAACAGAAGGTATCAGACACTAAGAACTGCAAGTACCCAGAAATATCACTCAATCTTCAGACAGAAATACACCTTTTCATTCTACTCACAAAGGCAGTACATTCAAATGACAATTTTCTCAGACCAGCACACTGCGGATTTACCAGTACGTGGAATAGCCTGTTTCAGTTGTGTCTTCTAACGATATAGGATTGTCTCTCACATCTGTCTATAAGCATGTTTACACAGAGGCAAAGCAATATTTTTCAGCTAGGAATATGATCAGAAAATACACATTGGCAGAGGAAACAATTTCATTTGGGTGGGAAGGCATTAAGGAGCAGGATCACACCTGCCCTTTCACGTGCCAAGAAATACAACGTGAAATACATCGCAGTGCTTTTAAAATCTCTCCATACTCGCCAAGACTACGTGTGGTTCAAAGATTCTTCCCAATAGTCTGATTGAAGTTGAAATAAACATACCCAAGGTGAAGAGCAATGAACTAAAATAAAAGGAATATTTTCAAGACGTTTTTTTTTTTTTTATCACGTACCATGGCCGTGGAAAACGCCGCCAAACTACGGTGTTCCTACTGAAAGATTGCCATGTATTAAGAGCTAGTAAACTAAAAGGATTTTGCAATGGTAAGACACTAGTACGTATGTTAATAGTACAGCAAATGTAATCATGTACAGGACTAAAAAATTTGGCTGAATTACAGAACACTAAAAATTATGAAACTATAAATCAAAAGGGGATAGCATGTAACACAACTCCACCTCGGCAAGAATTAAGCATGGAGGCTCTGCTAACTACAAAGACTGAAGAAAGGCTCACAAGGAAATATAAAGAAAAAGCTTTGCCAACGCAGGTATTCAACATGCATGAGTTTATAAACCCCAGATGTTTATAAATCCCCGGCAAAAAAAAAAGAGCAGTCTCCTGTCTTCACAAGTAAGCAAATGACTCATGATGAAAAGGGTACTGTGCTCTTGCTACCAGCCACAGCCTAGGTTTTCTTTTTCTTTCTTTCCCCTAGTTGAGACTCTCATTTGAAGGTATGGCAGGCACGCTGCAAGGGAGCTCGTGGCTGCAGACAGCCATACACAAACACATTACCACAACCGTCATCTCTAAATCTCCCTGAACTTCTGTTTTTAACGGATTGGCACCTAGTGCTGGACAATATTTAAATCTTTTTACGTCCTGTCACCTTTTTCACCCTTAAAGATCAAAGTCTTTGTATAAAACACTGAAACAGGCACAATGCTCAATGCTGCACTGAACAAAGGATGCCAAAAGCCACTTGAGTTTTAAAGGAAAGCTGTCGTTGACTTTGATTTTCTGTTGTAATTCCCTTCCGTTTTCAAGCAAATACTTGTAGATAAATATAGATGGTTTACACAAATGTTCGTAAGTATTTCAACATCCTTCCCCTATCTTCCATGCTACCCTGGAAGGTTTTTAGGATCCCACACCTACAGCAAATAGCACTCAATTCAGGAATCTCCAACACCACACCCATCACTTCTATTGAAAATTATATTGTCCAAAGCAATGATTTGCCTTTTTTTCCACAAAGCTAGGGTCTCACTAAAAGTGAAACTTGGCCTTGTTGTTATGATCAGACAAGCTGCTGCGATGCTTCTGCCCTAGCATGTCCTGGGGGGGCCAACACTGAGCTACACGCCTGAAAACCAAGAAGCACTACATGGCTCCTGCAGCACTCTCTGCAAATAGGATAGATCTTCTGTTTCCTAAAAGTCACACTGCCCATCTATCAGTGGTGCTGTTCATTACCTGAAGGGCTGCCACTGCCCCACTGCCACTGGTTTCAGCAGCTGGAAGAGCTGGAGGCCTCCCAGTCTATGCCAAGGGTGGCACACCTTAGCATGCACAGCATTTTTATTAAGACCTAGCAAATGTCAAGGGATAACAACATAATATTTAGACACTACACTGCTGTACTTCTTCCTATCTGCATAATACGTGTGGATAAACTGAAAGACTTAGCATCCAAACAACATGACACAGTTCAGAGCCTAGGCTGGGAGCAGCAAAAGCGGCATCAGAAAGGCAAGCAGTCCTGCTGCTTTCGAGAGCTGTCCACTATCGGTCACTTGAACGTGAAGTAAGAAGAATATTTCTTTTAGCCACCAAGTGCTGAGGCAGCAGGTGCAGCCACATCACCTCCCCTCCCTCCTTCAACAGGCGAAAACAGTTTATAAAGTTTCCTTTGCTATTTCAAAATAAAACTGCGGCCGCTTCACGTGAATCTAAAGCCACCAGAAACTTTACTGATATCCCAGGGAGGATGCTCTTACTGAGGGAAGCGAAATTAGTGTCTCCGAGCCCCCTCTCCCCCAGCTGGGCTGCAGCAAGCCCTGCCACCCGTCAGCTGCCACAGCGCTGAAGCCGCCTCCCAACACCAAGCTGGCAGCGCTCACAACGCTCTCCCTCGCCAGCTGATGCCTCCGAGGCAGGTTTTCAACACAAAAAATAAAAAACCCAAGGCAGAGGAGGCAGAAAGGTGGCTGAGGGTGCTCCCTCCCCTCCCCGGGACCCGCTCCCCGCCAGCCTCACGCCCTCACCCCTCGGGCCGGGTCCCCCCTGAGGCGGCTCCACCTCCCCTCAGGAGGCAGCTCCGCCGGCCGGGTCCCCTCCCGGCCGCGCCCCCGGCCCCGCACCGCTGCTTGTGGCTGCGGCTGTGGCTCTGCCCACCGCCCCCAAGCCCCGGCCCGCCCCTCCTGCGCCGCGGCGCCCGCGGGCAGCGCGCCCGGCCCCGCCACCACCGCCGCCGCCTTCCCCTCACCTGAGGCGCCGCCGCCGCCGCCTCCTCCCGCGGCCCCGGCTCTCGGAGCGGCCTCAGCTGCGGCCCCGTCCCGACGCCATTTTGTCTCCAGCCTCGGAAGTGACGTTGGGGGGAGGCCAGCGGGCAGGCCCCCCTCCAGCGGGACCCCCTCCGCAGCGGGGCCGGCCCCGGCCCCGACCCCGTTCCCCCCTCCCCAAGCTCCGATCCCGGCCGCCCTCAGCCCCCCGGGACACCGCCTCAGCTCATCCCCACCCGCCCGAGCCTGGACCCGCAGCGCGGCCTCCAGCCACCACCCTCAGCCCCAGACAATGAGCTGTGAGGAGCAGGTTCTCTTTCCCTATTTATTTTTTTAAATTTTAAGATGATTTTTTTTAATTTTTAGTTGATTTTTTATTTTTTAGTTGATTTTTTTAATTTTTAGTTGATTTTTTATTTTTTAGTTGATTTTTTTTTTCATTTTTAGTTGATTTTTTAAAATTTTTAGTCGATTTTTTTAAATTATTTTTTAAAATATCATCTTTTCGCAGTGAAGCTCCGCACTCTGACTGAAAAAAAAAGGAAAAATAAATAAAAAATCACGTCAGTGTCTGTGGGGAAACCCGGAGGTGAGGCACGGCCACAGCCTCGCCCCCCGAGGGCCGGCGGTCTGACAGGGCGCTGCGACCTGCCCTGCCGTGCCGGCCTCTCGGATTAATTTCTGAGAGGAAAAATGCCAAGTTACGCCTTGGAGATGGGCATAACGGCATCTCCCTTTGTCTAAGTTGCAGTGCAAAATAGTTTTTACCTCTCACTTGAATTTTACGTTCATAATAGCATCAAAAAGATGTAATCTTCCTAGGCTGAGGCTATTCACGTTCATTATCTATGTACATCAATTAGTAACACTGGAATCATTAAGCCTGGATATGCAAAGTACTCGTAGTAACAGGATAGAGAGGAGCCCTGTTCCTCAAAGCAGAAAAGTTCGTTAAGTAGCCAAGGGAATTGCCTGACTATCAATTCTTGTCACACTGAAGCTTTTTGGAAGAATCCATCATGTTTCCAATGAGCAGAGCTGCAAAGATGGTCTTTCACGTGTAAGGAAAGCATGGACTTCAAAGCCAGAAAGTTTTAATGCCTCTGTTACAATGCATAACTCCACCAAACAACAGCACACGGAAAATAACAGGACACAGCAATCTTCCCACCTGGAACCCCCAGGGGATATTTATATTTTAAAATGCTGCTTAAATATACCAAAATCAGTTCTGAACCCTCTAATTGAAGTAATGACAAGTCCTTAGATAAATATGCTTAAACTGCTTTGACTTATTAGACTAAGTTAATTTAATTCCAATTTATCTGTATTAACAGTTTATAAACTAGACTATACAGGTTTTCTTTTTTTTTTTTCCTCATTAAAAAAAATCAAGGCTTTCCTGTGCTATATTAGGGCTTTATTGTACCTGTAACAGAGAAACCAAATCCCCAGAACAAAATGCATGTTTTACTAGCTGAAGTACAACCTTTTTTATCTTCAGAAATACTGAAGATGAGGTTTCTCAAAATTACCTCAAGTAATCTGAATACAAATCACAACAGTCTTCTGCTTAACATATTTAGAGCCTTAGAAAATGGTCTTAGATAAGCTCAGAAAAAAAACCCTTTCAGAAAACATACATTTGCTATCTTACATCTTTTAACTTCTTTTTCTATATTTCGGAAGCATTGTTGTTGACGTTGTAAACTAAACGGCAGATACCAACCAGCCAACCCATATAAATTACAGCATTAGCTACAAAGCACTGGTATTTTAAAAATTTTGTTAGAACTTATTTATTTTATAGTTCCATTACTAAATTAGCAATGCTAACTCCCTCATTTAAGGCTGAAAGAAGCAAAAGCTTTCCATTGAGAACTACTGCTTTTCAATTCCTTCCTGGTCAAGGCACTTCAGAAGCCTAATATAAAGACTCAACCTGCTGCTGATGGAAGGATATCCATTTAAAAGTCATAGGAGTTCATCACTGGCTTAGTAATATGTTCACTTTGAGGTCTAGGATGCGTGTGATTTGTTTATTTATTTATTTTAAATAAAAAGGGAGGCTGCTGGTCTTTCATTTCTTGCATTTTTTGTTTTCTTGCAGGTTTTGTGTGTCTTTCTGCAGTAATAGTAGGAACGTAGTGTAGCTAAGATGGATTAGCTGTTTTGTGCTTCATTTAGTTGGCAATTTTAAAAAACTTTTCCCAATGTACTTTAGTATTTAATGATAATTCCTAAGCAGTCTTCTAATGGATGATGGTCTTTAAACTATAAATTGTCTCTGTTTGTTCAATGCCATTATTTATTTATTTATTTATTTATTTATGTATTTTATTGTCTAGGAACGTAATGCTGGAACAAGATGGACTTCCTTATAGATCCATAATTCTTTCCAAAGGCTCTTTAATTCTATGTTTCTCTTAATATATTTTTTGTTTTACTAACTGTTTCTTTGTTCTACCTTATATATTGTAGGTGAAGAAGGAACTCTTGAAAATCTGAAGCTCTAAGTGGAAACAAGGTAGCTTATTCTAATTACTTACACTTTATGCGTTTAATTGCAACTGATAAAAGGCCCTAGTTCTATGGTAACAATATCAGTATTTTTCAAAAAAGCTTTTAATAAAATTGGTTTGTTGATAGAAGCTTGGTTGTTATAAATCTTAAAAGAAAGAGTTGAAATAGTAAGAGAAAATACTTCAACTCTGTTAATTAAAAAGACTATCACTGTTACAAGAGAGTAGCTAAAACAAAGAATCGGAATGTTGAAGAGGTCTGCTAACCATGCTAAGACAAGATAGGCTTTGGAATTGGTTTGCATTAAGTAATTTATGACCTAAGGAACTCTTATTTGCAGATATTTTAAGGATGGATTATTACACTTATTTAGTCAAAAACCCCAGAGTAGAAAGCAGTCCTATTCTCTTATTATCTATATAAAGTCTAGTTGCCATGCGCCTATGACGTGCATACCTGCGAAAGGAGGAGAAAAAAAAAACTTCTCAAATGCTGTCTGTTCATCAGTAGTTTTGGTGTTTAACACCTGTAACGCCATTAGCAATATAAGCTGAGTGTAGTCCAAGTATTTCCAAACCATTTGCTCAACAGTGTGCTATTTGCTAGTAAATATGCTTTTGAACCTCTATCCAATTTGTTTCTTTTTTTAACTTACAAATGTATGTGTAGTCTTTTCTGGGCTTCATATTTTCTATTGTTAACCTGAATCATCTTTCAAGACTGTTCTAAAAATAAAAGGATGCACAGTACATTAGTGAAATCAGTTCTGACAGAAGAACTTTCTTTTTAAAATTTAGAAAACCATAACTATATAATGTAAAAGGTTCTTGCTTTCTTACACTAGTATAGTATTTTGTGGGGTGTGTCTGTGTGTGGGGAATGCTTGTAAAACATTAAACTGGGTTCTGACTCTTGAATTTAGAGATGGGGGGGAAAACTAGATCTAGGATTTGCTAAAATAATGTTAAAATAATCAATTAGATAAGAGGTAAGATCAGTAGTAGTTTGTCTTCCATGTTCAGACTGTAAAGTCAAGGAATGTGGTGCTTAGTCTAGTAACCTACTGTTTTCTGCATATTGTGTCAGCTGGTCTACAACTTGGCACTTGCATCACAATACTAAATTAATAACAAATATGTATGACACCAACCCAATTATCTATGCTGTAGATATCTCAAAGGTAAGGAGAATGCATGTGGTAAATGCTACTTACGTGGCTGTAATAATAGGTTCCTGGGTACTACACTAACAAAGTTAGGACTTCTGCTGTGCAGAATAGAATAAATCAACACACAAGGGATGCAAATAAGCCATACTGCAACTATAATGGTATCTCTTTCAAATGTTTGATGAACCTGTTAAAAAGATATTGTCAAATAATACTATCTTGACTGTGTAATAGCAAATCACTTACAAATACAAACTTTGCTTTTGGAGTTGCTTGTTAGTGTTGGTTATTGAGTAGTAGTACTGCTCTCTTCAGCTGTCACTGGAACGTTTTCACAAGCAAAAAGGGTAGATGAGCCTTTTTTTTTTTTTTTTTTTTTTTTGTAGTTCTTGCATTGTTCAGTCAGTGACTTGTAATGGACCAAACTTTGTGAAAATCTTCACAAATTTGTGCTGCCTTTTAAGACAATAATAGGGAAAAATGTGATCTCTACCAACCGAGCGCCTCACTTCAGCAGTGAAAGTGCACTTGAAGATGCGGAGAAACTTGAGACAATGTATGATTTGTCAGTTTGGTATTGCATGTATTGAACTACAGGGATTCCAGTTATTTTCCCTTAGGGGCCTCACTGGTAGTTTCTCAGGCTGTGTATTTTTGGTTTATCCTATCACTCTTGCTCTAAGCAGCTGTGCTTTGCTCAAGTGTGAATAGCACTTACTGTTATTCAGCTAGCTGTCACTCAACCAGGTTCTATACCTCTACTTTACATGTAGTATGTTCTGAAAGATTGTAAGGCAGTGACACCCATAATCATGCAGTCACGTACATTGTTCCCTGTATTCTTGTTGATTATCCAGCTTCCAAATCACTTTTCTGTGCTGCTGTGATTCAGTTAATATATAGCTTCTAACCATAAAATATGGACCAGAAAGACATTGATATTTAACACCCTTTCTTCAAAGTTACGTGAGGTATATGAGAATCTTCTGTTTAAAAATTTATTTTCTTAGTAACTGCTGCCTTAAGAGGTAGAATGCTAGGCATTATTTCAATACTTTACCTCTAACAAAACACTAGCAAAGGGAGAACTGAGATGACTTGTTCCTGTTTTGCTGTAAGGCCTTAATAACATTCAAAAGGAGACTCCGAGGATCTGTCGTATGGACAGGATGTTTTCAAAGCAACATTAGGCTCTAACAGGAGAGAACACTTGTCAAAATTCAAAGCCATGTCTCTTTCTGGAGATAATTAGGGTTTACCTCATACCTGTGTTAACCGAAGTATTGACACACGAACTCTTTATATGGACAAAGATTTGTATTTTAGGAATGACAGTGCAGGGGAGCAAAATACCGTTTCATCTTTTGTGACAGATTGACATCACTAGTTGGAAGTCATTACACAGTAGAAAGTCATGTTATCTATAAATATTTTAGCAGTTCACTCCTGTTGTAGCAGTCTTCCATATATGAATCCTGTGGCTCTAAGGCTGATCATTTAAATTAGAAATGTCTCTACAAAGCTTACTGCAATATTCTACCTTCTCTGAAGGAGAAATGCTTCAGCAAACTGAAGTAATCAGATCTCATATTCAGAGGTATGCAAGCCCATTGGGGTTAAGAGACAGGTAGCATTAAAAAGTCAGATAACAGAACTTTTGGATAATTTTGATGGAAGCATGTAGGAAACATCCCTTTTTACAATAAAAACAGAGCTTGCAGTATCAGTCTTGTCTGAAACACTTTCATTTTGTAACTCAGTCACTTTCTTGTGGTATTTTTCACTCATTGGGGCACATCAGTGACTCTTAATTTTTTTATTTTTTTTTTTTCCAGAACTGATCATTCAACCTTACTGAGCAGAAAAAGCTGTCTTGTTTTGGCATAGTCTGTGCTATTTTTGGCTCCTTTCTACTTCTATATGTATTAGTATTTATTTCCAGGTAGACTTTGCAGATTGCTTAGCCTGGAAAAAAGGCAAAGCTTTTTGTAGTTTATCTAGCCACTTCTCCTTGAAACCTAGATAGGTCTGGCTGTGTGCGTACAAGAGTCATTTTTATTTTCACCTCACTCTGAGAATACATACCATCTGGCAGTGTTCCAGTGGACTTGCACTTCATTTTCTGCTAGTTTTGATGGTCAGAGAAGCCTACGAATCTTTAGCCCATTGACATTCCGAACACTCAATTTTTGTGTTCTTAAAATAGTAATACTGGTATTCTTGTGCTTCTAAATCACAAATTAGCCTGAGTTAGTCTAGCTTGTGTTGCCTGAGTGTGCTTAAACATGCACAGACACATATCAGTACACAGGAGAGAAAAATAATAGAAGGAACTGTAAATCTGGATGTTTGACTGACTGTTCAGGGTGCCTGAAAAGGTGATGCTTATGTAGCTAGAGATAGGGAAGTTCTTGGATGTAGCAGTCTTGGTGACCCATCCAAGAAAAATGAAATTTCTAGAAAAGATTTTTCTCATCAGAGGGTCTGAAGCAGCCTTGAAACGAACTGAATCAAGGTGATACCAATATGGCCAATTCTTCTCTTGTTAATTGGAACAAGGTCTCTATTATCTAATCGTTCTGTGCTATTCAAGTTTGTTCTTGTAAACATAGGAGACAATACACTGCATGTTATGGCTTAAACTAAAAGCTTCTAAGAAGAAGACTGATACTGTCCAACTGCTTGGGATTTGGGGTACTTTGTAGCTCTAAATTTTAATATATGTTTTTTGTTTGTTTGTTTTTCTAAAATTGTTTGGGAGGCAACAAAGAATTGGCTGAACTACTAAGACGTTTAGGTGACTTGTACTTGGAATATCCTGGGTAATAATACTCAAATATTTCTACTTCACTTCCTTCTGGTTTAGGTGGTCCTTTCTAACTTAGTCTCAGGGTTTTTCAAAGGGCTTATTCATTTCTACTTTCTATGGTCTGAATCTTTCTTCTTCACATTAGTAACAAGTTTTATTTAAAATCTAATTTTTTTACAACAGCAGTACTGAAGCTTATCAATGGTGTCTGTTAACGCTGTTCATAAATGCCTCATGGTTTGCCTGCCACTCGTCTGAGTTCTGTTATTGCCTGTAATACTGTACATAAACTCATCTGCCAACCAACAGGTACTCCTTCTCCTAAAGTTGTTGCAAGGTTCCTCTTCAGGACTACTTTAAGGAACTGATTATATGGTCGTAGCTAGTTAGTCTTAGATATTGTGCTTCCCTGGCCTTCCTACAAATCACATCTGACTTAAACAAAAAGGTAACGAGGGCATCCAGGGTAGGGCAATTGTCAAAACTCTGAAGTCTTTTCATGACCTCTTGATCACAGGCAGTGGAGCCCAAGACTTTTTTTCTGTTTTACAGAATGGCTAAGAGACTACATATAATAATCTGAAGCTTTCTTGCTATAAACACGCTTGTTATTTTTCCTGTAAAAATGCTTTCATTAATTCTTACCACTAGCTGGTGCTATGATACAGCTTACTGAGTGTGCTGTCATACTGCATCTGTATTAGTAGCCTGCAGTGAGAAGTACCTCTTGGTATTCTGCTTGTGTATTTTTTTAAACATTGCTTCTTGTCAGGTATATCAAGTCTTAAGTCATTCTTGCCCAGTTTTCTGTGTCAAATGCAGAAATACTTTACCTTCTCAGATACTTTTATTGCTTTCCACTCAGTTAATCAAGCATACTTACTGTAGAAGTAAGCTAATTATTAATCATGACAAAATGATCCAGGCAAGTCCACCAGGAAAGCTATTTTCAAGGGTTAACTTCATAATTAGAGTAAAACATTTCTTAAGCCCAGAACTTCTAGTCCTAAATGAACAGAGGGTAGGTTTTGCCTCCCTGGAAATTGTGGTTAGTAGCAATGTATGGTTTTTGTAATTTCATTGTTTGTCTCTCAAAGACTATTAGCACCAAGGGTAGTTTCCTTGGGTGAAGTCCCAATCTAGATTACAGAGGTAACTCGGTGCAGCAATTTATACTATCTTAATGCTTTCATCATTTGCTAATAAAGCAAAGGCTGCCTGTTAAAAATGCAAGCTATATTTTATTGTATAACTTACCTTTAAGGGCTGGGTCTTGGGTCAAAATCTCTTCTACCACCAAGCTATAAAACTAAAGTTAGTGGCCTTTGCTTAATTCTTCTTGTAATTTTAGTTGTGCAAGCCAAGTGTTACCTGCATCTGTCTGAAAGAATAGGTTCCCCTGTGTGATCGTCAGCCTTCTGTCAGTCTCTGATCAACTGAGGTGAAAGAACTGAAACTAGTGTTGTAGATCTAGGCAGACCAAGCACTGACTATCGTGGAAGCAAAGTAATGTCACTCGATCATTCACAGCTATAAAATTTGAGCTGTTTCACTTGTATGAAGTATTGCAATGTTTAAAGAGATCGTGTCTCTCTTCAGCAATTGTCTTTATGCCAAAATGTAACAGGAATGTAGTTTGAAGTTGAAATATTTTGAGTGCTATAAAAAACCAAACAACTTTCAGGACACAATTAACATCTATATGTCAACCTCTTGTCTCTTTCCAGTAGAATATGCAAAAGCTGATGTACACTACCTAATACACCTTTTTCCCTTGGTGTTCTGATATTTCGTCGTGAAGGACTAACATAATGTATAGCCTTGGCATAAGTGATAGGGCTCTCTGAATACAATGTCAGGTGCAATGGATGTGTGAGAAATTCTGCTGTGGAAGGAGCCTGTAAGGCGTGCACAGGAGACAAAAGACATTCTTTCAGGATAGAAGGTACTATGTTGTGCTATTGTCAGTTATTACTGCTTATTCATCTCCTGTGTTCCCCTTTTCCAAGACTAGATAGGAAGTGAAGAACAACTGACATGCCCATCTTTTTCCCTTGAGTACACCTGTTGAATCTACTAATCCCTTCTCTGTTTCCTGTATATGATGATTCAGATGTAATGAGGCAAAATATCCACGGGTCTCTAAAGAACTGTGTTATCTGAGGATAACACAGTTGATGTGAGTATGGAATAGAGTTGCTTCCCAGCTCAAATGAGTCACACAGTACTAATTTCGTAAGACCAAGATAATTATTAGTACACTTGAAATTGCTTTCTTAGAGAATGTTTCTTCATTCCATAGGGAAGGGGGAAGTATTTCTGATAAGGACATAGGTCCACTTCTAGTTGATTTAACTCAGTTGCTGATCATATTGCCTTTAAGTTATTACCAGGTGACAGTTTCTTTGTAGTGAAAAAATGAGTTAAAGAACTTGCTTGATCAGTAGTTTCCTGTTCTACTTGGGAGAAGAAGGGTTTCTGTGAAGAATCAAACAGGCTTTTTTGTACTATTTTTCCTCTGAAGAACCAGGAGGAGCTTCTAGTTTTACCCAGGTTTTAATGGAATTATTGCTGCACTGCATCAGTATCCCTCATCTTTCAAAAGGAAAGTATAATAAGGTTACAATTTCTGCTTCTGCAGTGACTTCTTAGATTATCCTCTTAGATTATTATCCTATAATTTGAAAAACTAAACCCGGTTTATGCCAGTGTTGCTATACCGTTTCCCTATTCCTTCAGTTTTCCACTCCTCTGGATGGTACTGCTTGGTTTCGTTTCTCAACTCTCAGAATCAATAACCCTTGCCAAATGCCTTCGGGAAACAGAATACACCCTTGAAAATGCATGGAATGTGCAGCACTCCTTACTGGCTGAGATGCTTGCTAATATAGCATTTGCTAGAGACTAACTCTAGCCTAGAAGAGCCTAACAAGCTGCGTGATTGAATGGGGATCTTTGTGGCATTGTCCAACTGTTTGTTGGAGAGCAGGGGGCTATGGTTTTGGTCTGATGCCTGAATCCACAAGGCCTAGACAAAGACGCATGGGATACTGGGCTTACCTATACGTAAATGCCTCCAGCTGCGGGAAATGTATGTTATGGCACCTAATATCAAGTTACGTATCCACTGTTACCTTCTGTGCCCATCAGCAGCCATCCAGCAAAACTAGGTGTGAGAAATTTGGTATGATTGATATCTCATGTTAAAAAGTTGTCTGGGAAAGGATGGGTATGATCAGCTTATACTTAATCTAGTTAAGTAGATGCATATAAATAGTTATGACGATGTCTTCAGGCATGGTGTAGACAATTATGACTTAAAGCTTTAAATTGCAGTGGTTCGGTAGTATCTACACTGCAGAACTTCATATGTGCAGGAGAGACTATTTTGGATGGAGTGGTTTCTCATCAGAAACATTAACTGTGAGAATATTTCTACCAGGAAGCCTCAGGTCAGGTAGTAGTTGCTTTTTTCTTGTACCTGTTGTTACTGTTTTATATTAAAGAATATAAAGGATTGTGTTATCAAAAAGTAATGAAACATCTCTTCATCTGAAGTAACAGAGAGCTGTGACAGGACTAATATTTAAAGATTCATGTGTTGGCTTTTCCCTTACCCACAGATATAACCCTTGGCAAGTCACTTAATCCGTGTATCATTCTCTCCTGACCTGGAGGTAGCACTTACCATCCTTTCGTGGACGAGACATCAGAGCTTTTGAGTTTGAGAACTTTGTGTTAGTATGCAGGTTGTACTTTTTAATGCAAGTCTGAAATAGCATGCAGCTAAGATGCTTGCAATATCATAATGTAACCTCTTAAAGTACTGAATAATGAATTTAAAATAATTGCTCCATGTTTTAATTAGTGTTCTAACTGTTGATGAATACTTTTTAAATTAATGGGAGGAGTCTGAGATTTCCGTAACATTCTTCTGGTGAATACTTAGTTATTGCTAGTTACTGAATTAATTCTTCAGATGTTTTCTGTTCTTACAGTAAAAACAAGCCTTATGATGAATCATTGTCCTGACACCTAGAATTACAAATATTCATGCATCACATCATTACTTTCACAGTATACTACCCCTGTACATCTTTCTCACAGACACAAATATAAGGGGACAACTATGTTTATGATACTTTTGGTGACATCTGGCATTTTCAGAGGAAGCCTGGTGCCTGCTTGTCTGTTAGGGAGAGCCACATTCATGACTCAAAGCCAAGCTGTGAAAGGGAACATTACTGTTACTAACAATAAAGGAATGAACATGATCAGGAATCAGGATTTTAAGTTAACAACAAGTGTTGATATATTGAATGTCATTCCTGGTGAATAAAAATCTAACCTGGCCAGCTGGTCAAAGTATAGAGCTGATGTTTCCTGATGTGCTCACATTCATAGGAAGTCTCCTGACCTTGCGCCCTGATTCTGCAAGCACGTATACTGATCATTCATTTCAGCTTATGGAGGTATTTGCCCTAGGACAATGTGCTGTTTGACTTCTCCCAAAGCAGAAAAGATCCCATCTTCCACATATATTCCACCAAAGCAAACAAACAAAAAAATAACCACCAAACAGGTAGCTCATGTTAAACCTACTGTTGAATTTCTAAACTAGTAATGGAAAGCTAAATAATCCAGGTCAGGGAAAGCTCAGTCCCAGTACACTGCTGTACTTTACATAGGAACGTAGACCTCTGCGATGATTTTCTTTTTTTTTTTTTTTTTTTTTTAGTTTATATTTCTAGAATACTTGTATCATGAAGTTACAAAAGGGAATTAAATTACGAATTCTTCAATAGCATATAAATACGTAACAAACCTTTTCACAAAGTCATTGTTTCTTGAAGCCTCATTGAGGCAGGATAGAATGTTCTACACTGGAGATTTCTCAGCAGCAAGGCAGTGTGAATCATCATAGGATTAAATGTATCAGTGCAGCAGCAGTTGTTGTTTCCTCTTGTTGGCAGAATAAGGGAAATGTAGGTCTTCTGATTCTTCAGAGCTCCTGCTTTCTCTAGTCATATGCTGAGTGTTCTGTACTCCAGCTGATAATCAGAAGGGAATTTGTGTCTTTATGTTTTTACTGCTTCAGATCTATTACAGCACAATATATTTAATACTAAGCCTCCAGCGCTGGAAGCCCCCCAGATTATATTTCAGTGGAGCATGGGCCGTCTGTTTAGGGATTGGTGTCAACTAAGATTAATAACACTTTACCTTGAATGAAAGGGCAGTAATCATAGTACTGTGGACAGATTCTGGATGCATATGGTTTGGTATCTGAGGTTTCACTGCATAGGATTAGTACGTAAATGCAAACACGTGACAGATTCCTTAATGTACATGTAAGTTGCATCCTTGTGTGGGTACATACGTATTCAACACATGATAATCTCCACCATGTTTCATCAGAACAGTCTTTCAAAACAAGTTAAGGTGTACTTCCATTTCATTATAAATTGCCTGTCCGGATAGTGCTTGAGATGTGATGGGAATAATTTATTCAAGGGGAAAGTCATTCCTGTGGAGAACTTTACATCAGAATCTTCCTTGATAAGGAAGAGAATGACTGTTTCAGGTGAATTACTATCAGGAGTAAGGTGAGCACTTTGAAGATGATTGTATTTACTGACAGCAAGCTACAAACCAAAATCTTGTATACAAATATGCTTGATTTCTGAGACTAAAGGAAAGTCTAAACTCAGACTTCAGGAAAAAAAAAAAAAAGCATTTTGTTTTAATGGATAGGACAGAAAAGCAGCCATATCTGGTAATCTAAGACTTTATATCTAGAGTGGAGTTCTTAGTATAGACCAGTCTGAAGATAAAGATTACTAAAGCTTAACCTAACAAGATCCAAATGGAGACTTTTCAGATGTATTCAAAGCTTATATTACTCAATAGAGATATTTACTAGTCTCTCGTCTTACTTTCTTCCGACTTCTTTTACAGTTTATAAACTTATCATCCCCACCACATGAGCTTAAGAACAGTGCTAAAAGACTCTAAATTATTTTTTTTCATGTTTAGCTTTGATACAGATTAAATGTTTCAGTTGTTATCAAAATGTCAAATTTGTCAGAATTGACAAGACAAATAGCAAAGCTATTGAGGAAATTAAAAAAAATAAAGAACAACTACTCTAAAACACGACATAATTTGCATTGTATTTTCTTCCAAAGATCAGATTGATAGGAAAGTTCATGGCACAAGGAAGAAACAGAGAAACACATCTAGATAAATTGTTTAATACATATTGACCATATGGACTTTAATGATTTTTACACCAAACATTTAATGCCTTAGTTTAGAAAACACGATGCATTGCAGCCATTTGGCATGCAAAGCTTTTACTCTGAACTCTGCGTGTTCAGGTACTGCTGCACTTAATATGCCTTAGTGGAAAGCTGTAGAGTCCAAAAATGCTTTATACCTCACTAACATGCTCATATCTAGTATCGGGCACACGTGATCAAGCAGGCTACCCTGCTGGAAAATGAGACAGTTATAAAGAAAACACATATACATTAATTCAAAAGCTTTTACACATCAGCTCTAAAGCGTGCTGAGTAACTGGTTAAAGTTGACCCATCAAAACTGGGTATTTTCCAAGCACCCTTTAATTCAGGATGTGTATTTCAATCCCTGTGTCTCTGCAACAAGAGGAGGCAGGAAATTCTTGTCACAGCAGTCAGATGCACAAGCTTTCAGTTGGTAGGTCAGTTCCAGCTGGACCTATCACACTTTGTCACACAATAACGTAAGTATCAACAGCAAAAAATCGGTATCAATAGTGGAAAGATTTTAGCTTCCAGTACCTAATGTTTTCTGAATTTGTATATAATTATTTCTCTCTGAAGCAATTCCTTCTTTTTGGTAGGAAATTTCAAATCTTGCCAAACTATATGTTCACTAGATGAACATGCCATAAGCACTTAACCAGCCAAAACACTTGACAGAAAAGATTCTGGATGTATTTTTTAAAGAAATGCATAAAATGTGATGTGGAATAGTCTTTGCCAGCAGCATTTAAAATCAAGCTAGCATACATTACCTGCAAATCATATTTCAGATGTAAATGTTGCTGCTGCTGGAGTTTTTTCCTACTGAATGATCTTTTTTCATTCTTCTAGTAAACTCCTGGTTAATAAAAATCCTATGCAAATGTTCCATTTTCTGTAGTCTGTAGAAAATAGTCTTTGGGAGAGTTGTGTGGGATCCCCATAGATCTGGAATTCTTCAACCATATTTTCCATGGATCATCTTCTCACACCAATACAGGAATAGTCTTCAGTTCTTATAAAGTAAGAAGCACTTGCTATGTATTTACTGGCATAGAATGGCTTGGTTGCTTTTTCAACTATTTTCAGGGCCTGTAAAGAAAAATAATAAATAAAAAAAAAGGATGACGTTTTATTGTTTTTCATGAAGTTACCCAAATGTTAGGTATGTGATCTGTTTTCCTCCCCTTGCCTGTCTTTCCCGTCACCTCTGTATTTCTCCTCCCAGTTCGTAATTTATTTTCTCCTATCCCTGTTACTGGAAGTTCTCGTTTACTGCCCACTGACTAATGCCGAGTGAACAGTACATGTATTTGTTAAATGCAATGTAGGTTTTTTGTTTGGTTTGTTTTTTAACTACTCTAAAATTTGTAAAGCATTTTTGATTGAGTGGCAGCAATTAATCTTATTGGTACTAGCTTCCATAAATATCCAGATTTTTAAGACAAAGATCATTTGTCAGTGTTCACACGTTGTCCAGCACTTCTAGAAGTTGGTCTTTCAATTCTTCATAGTGAACTTCATGTATGTGCGGTGTAAGCCAACCCCAAACTGCTACACCTGGTGAGGCATTATGAGAGCATGCATGCAATGTGTGACAGATCTTTCTGAAGCACCTCAGAGTGGACTTAAAGCACTCAGAGCACGTTGGCAGCTCTTTCGGAACAGGTTACTTTTCACAAACTGAAAGTTCAGAAGCTATTCCTGTGACCTTGCTCTGAAGATTCTGCTTATTTGAAAAGCCTGATAAACGATTTACTTACGAGTACCTGCCTGACATCTTCCTTACAACAGCGATTATGATTCCTGCAAGGATTCCAACACCTACTATGATTCCAATAATTATTCCAACAAGTGCAATTGTTTCCAGACCACCTACGAGAAGAAATTGGGTATGTTAACTGGTTTCTCATGCGGACCACTGATAACAGAGGCTAGAGATAGAACTGACACTTTTCTGCTGCATCCCAGTCCTTAGTGTAGGTTTCCTTGTTTCTTTTGAACTCTCCGGTAGATTTGGTAAGTTCAGCAGTTATTATTATTATTATTTTTTTATTTATTTATTTATCAGCATTTGTGCTAGATTGAAAATGTGCTGAAGTCACTGAGATTGTCTATTCTGTGCACTGAGATCTGCAAAGCCATTTATACAGTGATTCATAGCCTGTGTAGACTGTAAGCCTGCAAATGTGACTTTGGGCTGCAGGGCTCCGCACAGATGTGATGAAAAGAGACAATGATCACATGAACAGGAGGAGGCAGATCAGGGAGTGTACCATGGCTCCCCCCGACATTATTTTTAAGAATATCATGGGTATAGCTAAAGCCTTCAAGAAGGGTATGAGCTGACAATTGAGCTCTCCCATATATTTATAATGATTTTGTTTAATACCTTTCTCAGTTTTCTCTGGTTGCTCCCCACCCAGTCCACCTGTAAAGTCAGAAAGAGAATAATTACTTAGGTGCTTTATACCAAGTTTTGCATCCCAATTTACAATGACATATCCAAGGAAAACTTTTAACAGCGGTATCACAACGGTATGAGAGCTGTGTAATAGGTTGCTCTTTTGTTGGGATAGAGACTGAGCAAATGAAAAGCTCCTTGAAGTAACAGAAATATAAACTAAAATCTAAGGGAATGGTTATATCTAATATACACTAGTGGAATTTAAGTTAGCTCAGATTATGTCGTTTTTGCATGGAAACTTGTACAAAATCTGTTTAGTACAGTTCTTTAATTCTGGAATTGAATTTGCATTTGAGAACAGCTTAAACTTGGTATTTGAATTTTCCAGATATACATGTATGTTTAGTAGAGGATATAAGACTGCAATGTATTAAAACGGAAAATGAAATATATTTTTTTACCATCAACACTTTCTGTGTTAACTTCATTGTCTGTAGAATTGTCACTGTCTTCCGGCAGGGCAAATGCACTTTCTGTGGTCATTAGTTGTCCAAACTCCAAGAGATTTGTTACACTGTGTAGACTTGTGGGCAGCTAAAAGAGTTGGGGGAAAAACAGAGGGGAAGAAAACCACAGTATGTTCAGTGTAAGTATGCATTGAAATGTCTTGATCTGCCAAGTGCCCTGAACATGAATTTCTAGCCATCGCCTGTCGTCTTTGTGTCCCTTATGAAGAGTGACAAAACCCAAAGCAAGCTAAGTTGTCTTTTCTGACAGAGACTTTATAGATCAGATGAATTCTCAACAGGACTATAAAAAAGTGCAGAAGAAGACTGCAGAAGGTTGCAGACCGGCCTCTTTTTGATTTTGTGGTTTTGTGTTTGTTTTTTTGTTTGTTTCTCTGATTGTCAGTTTGGTTTCACAGGAGCTAACGGAGAGATAGGGAGTTAGAAGAGGCAAACGGCAATAAAGAAGCAGGTTATGAACACTTTCTGCAGCACACGTGAACTGCCAAAAATGTTTTCAGCTTTGTCGCCTTCAACCTACTTGCTTGCAAAGCAAAAGCATCAGCATATGGTCTTTTTCATTTTATAACTCAGAGATTTTCTCTATAATTTATGATTGTTTGAAATCTAAGCAATGAGTCAAAACTGTGAAATCAGGGTAATGGAAAGCAACCTTTATTTAGACTGATACTCACCAGGGTTGGTGATTCTTCAAACTCTGTGTCATTTCTGTCTTTGAAATCAATTGTTGCACTTTCTTCTCCCTCTAGAATTGCACTTGCTGAATAAAATTTTAGAAAATAAGTTAGGATTTTACTTGATAGTTACATGTTCTGGCTACTTTGACATCTGAATTATTTTAAACATGATATATATAGGTAGCACTCAATCTGCCCACCTTTGCACTTGGGCTTGCGCAATTATTTGGACTAACTTTCTGGCTTTGTCTATATTCTTACACAAAGCCATAGGACAGAACTTAAGCACGTATCATTTATAGTGTTTCTGTGTTGTGCCAGGATTGAACACTAAACACTTTTTCCAAGGGAAATTTTTCTTCAATAGAAGTCGTCCCCTCCATACAGGTGAATGCAACTGCTCCATACTTCAAGTATTAGCATATGTATCCAGATAAATTACTTTAAGCATCTTTGCTTTTCTAAAGTAGTAAGAGCTTTCTCCCATCTTTCAGCATAGTCCCAGCCACCTTTATTTTTTACTACTACCATTAATGTTTATCGGTATAGCTGTAGTTTAAAAAATATTACTACACGTGAGAGGTTTTTTAATGTTGCAAACCATACCTGCTGTGACTCTAATTGTGTGTTTTTGGTTGTTGTTGGTGGTGGGTTTTGTTTGTTTGTTTTTAAGTCTCCTTTTTTATTCTAGACCTATATGTCATCTGTACTCTTTGGTAGAACAAACACTTAATTTTGACCTAAACCGTTTCTCACAAATATGGCAAAATATCATCAATAGGGAAAATGAGACATAACAAGGTAAAACACAAAAAATATGTGTACATGAAGATAACTGGCAGTTATCAAGAAAATGTTGGAAGTACACAAATCACTTGACTAAGTTGCATGCTGACTCACAAAACCATGACCATGCACATTATGATGTTAGTGTAGCGTGATGTTTCTTGGGAGTTTTTAATTCACCATGACTGTAAAACTAGGAGGTGAAGCTGCTTGTTTTTCTGTTGCCTGGGGCATGAGACTTCTGCTAATTCCAGATACCACTGTTTAAATTTAAGCAAAGAGCTAATAATAGATAGACATTCTCCTGAGCAAAAACATCAGGCATAAAAACCTAGCGCTTCTGGGTAGTTATTTCCTGGATTCAAATTTTGCACCAAACTTTTATTTCAACAACTGGGGCAAAAGTCCAAACTCATTTTATCAACCCAGTTTATCAGTTCACACTTTTTCAACATAATACTGATCTACTATAACGAAATATTGCAAGGGTAGCTAAAGGTTATGTGAATGAGAGCCGTGTTCATTCCCTTCAAGCAGCAGAGAGATTTGCAGGGAGAGGGGTTGGAGAAAACCCTGGATACTCACCCATCATTTACCTGTGGTGTACATAAGGTAGCCATTGTCAGCTGCAAATAGGTTAATTATGAATAAAATATCTAATCCTTTTTTTGTTTTGCAAGGTAGTTCATACCATAGCATTTTTGCTGTTGAATAGAATTGGTTGTTACAGTACTCGTCATACCTCTGTGTTTGGAAAATTCAGTAGTGCTGGAGAGTCGTCTCAGGGAGGGGAATGACAATATTCACAAGTTATTTAATAAGAGGATTTTACTGTGCAATTTTATTATTAGAAATCTTATGAGAAATATTCATGAGCTGCCTATTGTTTAATTAAGCACTAAACACTGTTTCTACTATTTTCTCCTATTTAGTGACCTGAAAACATCCTCACCTCTTCTGCATTTGAATGTAGACTATTACTGACTAATTAGACCAGCTCTGAGTAGTTAGACTATTTCTGTTTCTTATAAAAGACTTCAATATTTATATCTCTAAATGCATTACACTTATGCTGTATTTGATTTAGAGGCAACTAAGCAGAATTTTTGTTCTGTGGCTGAAAAATTTGAAAGAATGGGCGTTTTACCGTGTCAAAATGAGAAAAAGTTAAAATCAATTTCTATCAGCTGTACATATAATCACTTGGGAATTATTTTTCTTTTACTTAAGTTCCATTTAATCTTTATTCAATTTCCAAATGCCTTCTTTAACTGTAAAATGGTCTTTCAAGTGAAAAAAAAATAATTTGAAATGCATTATCAAAATACACCAGCCTTTTTAAAGGAAACATTTCATACAGAAGATGAGTGACCTGACATTAAAATAAATAAGTAAATACAATCTCCATTTCCATTTGCCACTGAATTCTATTGGAAACTTGCAAATATTTTCCTTGTTCCCAAAACTAGTATTTAAACCAAATTATTTTGTCATCCATCTCTAGCAATACAAGAGCTTTGTCCCTTCCCCAAAATACTAAACACTGATCTAAACTTAGATTTCTAAATCCATATTTACTTAAGTAATAAGAACGTTATATTTTGTATCTTTATTTATAAACCTGAAAACAGATACACTTTCTATTTAAGAGCCAAAAGAAGGGTGTGAAAATAGTACTTTAGGCACTAACAGATGAAGAAAGTATATTCATGTTATGCCAACATGAAGCCTAATATAGCTGTCTAAATAAGCCAGCCAGACTCCCAGAAATGCCCTTATAATTCATGGAACTACAAGAACAGGACAGAGTCTTAGTTATACTGTAAAAATAATGTTTTCATCGTTTTTGATCACAAGCATAAAGAAAGGGGCTTTACTTCCAGGCGTGTTCATTAGCCATCTAAAATATCAGGCCATTTTAAGGTATGGCACTACTCGATAATCCTCAGGCTTGGTTTATACAGTAAAGCCTTTAAGTTAGAATATTGGGATTATGGTATGTACATGTTAAATATAAAGAAAGAAATTGCAGTAGGGCTAAACAACATGAATTGTATGCATCAGGTAAGTTTGTGATCCCAGGCAGAACTGAAAAAAATCATTTATTCACTAGTGACAAAATAAGCACAGATGGAGAAAACCAATTACCAGAGAAAAACCCCAGATGGAAAGTGAAATAAGTTTAGTGTGTTAAAAACAAGCAGCTCACTCAGGGAAGCTAATTATACCCTTGGCAAGGCAGTAGCTCGCAGCCCTGAAGAATTACCTGACAGTGAAGGCAGGAAAGGCAACAGTGTCATAGAGCAAAGGTGCAGAGAACTAGTGAACATCACAAAGTATCAGGAAAATAATTATTCTTTGTGTGGTGAAGCTATCGAAGGTTCTTGGCGACCAACAGCATGTAGGAAATCTATTTCAGCACATTTCCCTCAGGATAAAGTCACTGACGAAAGGTAATGGCCCAGATTGATCTGACCTAATTTTAGGTTCTTATGAATTTGCTTAAATAAGGTCTGTGTTTGCCCTTCTCTTACAGTCCGTAAAGAAAGGTAAATACTTCCAGAGGGTGATTCAGCTCTCCTGAGATTTGGGGCATACTCTGGAAGTGCTTCTCTTAACTGTAAAGGGAAACTAGAATAATAGGGCTTCCATATTAACTTGCTAACACTCACAGATTGACCTGATTTCTACCAACATGTGGGTCTTGTTCCAGCCCTGCCCACTCTGAATAATACTGCCTTAAAGGCGAGGTCCTGTGTTTGCTGGAGAGTGGTCCCTGCATTGTATTTCCAGGTTTGTTTTCTGGACAGATGTGGTCTAGATGGTGGTGTGTAAACACTGCTGAGCTGTCATCAGAAAGCTGGGAGCTGATTTGTAGTCACTGGATTGCATTTGTAGGAAGGGACAGCAGGTACCGGACAGCTCTGTCAGAGAAAGCTGCAGTAAGCTCAAGGCCAGGCAAATACTTGCAAACTGAAGCTAGATAAACTGAAAGCAGTGTTGATTTGTTTCGAACTTTGCGGATTCTAAGATGCTATAGCATATTGAAAGGGAGGTGATGGACTCTGGCACCTTACATGAAAGAGTAAAAGCAGTGGAAAAAGGCTAGCTTTCTCAGATGCCTTTGCAAGAACAAGCCCACATTGGTTGTTTGACTGTAACAAGCAGCCCTTTGATTTCAAATCAATACAGTGTGTGGAGGGAGAATTAAGGGGAGGACGAAAACAGCGCTGGGAAAAGGCATCTGGATTTAACTTCAAGCTTTCCAAGTTTTAAAGTTTATTAAAAATATTTAAATGAAATTTGAGAGAGTCTACTAGATATGAAACTTCTTTCCCTCTACCCAGGACAAGGCATATATACCAAGAGAATGTCAACGTAAGGGTGTCTGTGCTTCAGTCATTTGTTGGCTTCATCTGATGTGGGCCAAATGTAGCAAGAGCCATAGGGTTAAGTACTGCTTCTGCAAATGTTCTTATCAGTACCTTACAGGGGGCTGTAAATAAAAACATTGCCTCACAGTGCTGGGTTTGTCTGCAGACACTGCTGTGGCCTCTTCTGTTTGCAGCCATACGTTGCTGCGGATGGGAATTAATCATTGCATCTCTTTCTGCCTAAGTTCCAGCTGGGTGCATTTCAGTTCAAAGTCCCCAGCTGCTATCAGGCTGCAACTTCTCACACTGGGAAAAAATCTGATGTCCTTAAAAGTTTAATACTGCTTTGAAAACGTTGTGCGGGTAAGCATCCCATGACCCACTTAGGGAAAGATGAGCTCACTACTCATTGTTATTCATAGAGCGACAGTTTACTAGAAAAACCTCTTAGGGTTGCTTTCAAATCACAGTGGTTGTGCTGGAAAGGAGAGTGAGTTGTAAAAATGTTGTCAGTTAGCATTTCTTTCAGGTATCTCCAAAACCAACAAAGATACTTTTGAAGAAGAAGAATGTTGGAGGATCTCCTTTCTTTCCCAGCAGTCTGAGTAAACCCAGATGCCAGTGAGCAAAGGCAGTTTTAAGCCAATATTTTAGCTTTGTCCTTGAGGTAGGAAGCCCTCAAAATAGACTGTTTCCAGCTCTGCAGTATGACAGAATTCTTACCAGTAGGTAAAAATTGCTAACTTTAAAGGGTTCCCTCTGGTAAGAGCTGAAAGAGTTTTTATTGTTCCTTTCACTTCTGCTCCTATTAAATACATATATATATGTTTTCAGTTATTTATAAGTTTAAAACTGTCAAACAATGGTTTTGATTTTAAAATCCAAGTTTATTTTTACCCATACCTTATCCATTATCTCACTAC